AACGTCACCATTTTGGCCAATCCATGTCTTTGTTTTCCAGGATGCACCAGGCAGGCGTGCCGGAATCGGCCTTCACCTTCTCGTCAGTGCTCTCCGCTGAAGGAAGACAAGTTCACGCAAGGGTGGCACGGTTGGGTTTCTTGAGCAACAAGATTGTGATAACTTTGCTGATGGATATGTATGCCAAATGTGGATTCATACGGGATGCTAGGAATGTGTTTGTTGCAATAGATGATAAGGATATCATTGCTTGGACTTCCATGATCCGTGGGTATACCAAGATGGGAATGATGGGTGATGCGCAGGAGTTATTTGATCAAATGGAGCAGCAGAATTCATTTTCTTGGGCAACTATGGTGGCTGGTTATGCCAACTGCGGTAACATGAAAGCTGCTAGGCAATTTTATGATGAAATGCCAGAGAGGAATCCGGTTTCGAAGCTTGCTTTGATAGCTGGTTATGGGAGGTGCGGAGATGTAGTAGAGGCCAAAAGGATCTTCAATGGAATACAAATATCAATACCATATGCATCGTGCTGTGCAGCAATGGTGGCTTGCTATTCTCAAAATGGGTATGCAAAAGAGGCCATTGAAGTGTATGAGAAAATGAAAGAAGAAAATTTGGAAACCAACGAGGTAGCATTTGTAGGAGCAATTTCAGCTTGTGTTCAACTTGGCGGTGTCGAGATGGCGAGCAAATTACTAGACCAAGTGGAAGAGGGATGCTGTGGTAAGTTTAGTATATAACTCTACTATTGGTCTAAGGCTTCTTCTAGTGCATTGGTTCAAAAATCTCTCAACACCATCACTCAAGGACCCTGATTTAAAACCTATAAATCTGTAGAGTTTAAGACAAAAGTAAAGGACATTGCTCTAATCTAAAATCCAAACGTTGAATATGATGAATATGTCTTGATGGTTTTTCTTATATGTTTGGATTGCAGATCGGACTCTGTTCGTCTCCAACGCACTGATCCACATGCATTCAAAATTTGGCAATATCGAACGGGCACAGGAAGAATTCTACAGAATGAAGGATACAGATGTGGTCACTTATAGTACGTTGATCACAGCCCTGGCTGACCATGGAAAAGCCATGGAAGCCATGGATCTCTTCTCCAGAATGCAAGAAGAAGGTATAAAGCCAAACCAGGTATGTTTCACTGGCGTACTAAATGCATGTGGACATGCAGGGATGATTGAACAAGGATGCAAGTATTTTCAACTTATGAATAAGGTTTTCGGGATTGAGCCACTAAAGGAGCATTATGCCTGCATGGTTGATCTACTAGGAAGAGCAGGTGAGGTTGAAATGGCATACAGTCTTATCAAGGATAGGGTGAGGGAAATTGATGCAAGATTTGGGGGTAATTGCTAGGAGCTTGCAAGATCCATGGTAACGTGGAGTTGGGTGAGATTGCTGCTAGGCATCTATTTGGGATGGAGCCAGAGAATACAGGAAATTATGTGCTTTTGGCAAATACATATGCTCAAAGGAAGGAATGGGATGAAGCAGAGAGGGTTAGGAACATGGTTGAAAGAGGAATCAGAAAATCTCCGGGGTACAGTTGGATTTCAAGTTCTACATGAATAGGGACTTGCATTCTTCTCCTAAACTAATTCTTGATATGTAAAAGTAATTAAAGAGTGTAATATAAGGAGATGTGTTCTTCTATTTGTAATAGCAGAACTCTAATTGTTATTTCATACCAAGAACAAATGATTCTACTGGCTACTAGCTAAGTCCAGGTCTCTTCACAACTCCTGTATGTTATTTCATACGTGCGTGCAACATTATCATATCAATATACTACACAATAAGAACATTGATATAAGAGCAGAAACTGGTAAGAATTAGATATAAATGTTATACTATTGGGTGTTTCAGATTCCAACCATATTTAAACAAGCCAAAACACCAAAACTTTTGGCATATCTATTATACGTTCATAATCTTAATAACAGAGCATGGAACTGTAGTTCGGTACACCTTAACATCTAAACTACATTGGATTTCTTATCAATAACTTCCAATTATACATTCTGGTCTAAGAAAGATTTTCCGATGATGAGCAGGGCCAGTGAAAGCAACTCAAGAATCGCACATCAGAATCTTCGTGGATTGAATAAGAATATTAAACTAACCGGATATGTCACATTTTCAACGATTGGCTCAGCTTCATACAAGAACTCCAGATCTTCTTGGTATCATCTAATGTTGTATTATGTCTTTAAAGGAGCCTTCTTTTCTCTGTCAGATATTCGAGCTGGACCAGTTGTATGTGACTTGAAACGACCTCTCCCTCCCTCTTCCTTTTCCTGAAAAAATCAAATTGCAGATGTTATATACACAACCAAAATAATCAAATCAAATCTTTCATTTCATAGTCATAAGGAAAAGTGATATATTAAAATTTAAAAGAGCAACAGTTATAGAGACTCCCATTACTAACAACCCACAAGGACGTTGTTGTGAATTTGTAAACTGGAATAACAAATAAGAGAAGAAAAATAAAGTCATATTGTAGGTCCCTAAAAGTTTGAATGACTATTAAGAAATAGCCGACCACATCTGCCGAGCTAAACAACATTAGGTACCTTTTTCTTAACAATCTGGACCACATCCTCGTCATTAAGAATATGACCAAGGCCACAATGCTGTGGATAGTGCCTTGCACTTGTACCCCATACAAGCACGTACTTGACATCCTTAACCAAACTCCTGTGGATATGATTGCAAAAATCCTCAACGGTGCAGCCACCTCTATCCTAAAATTACATTCATGGAGCAGTTATAGGAAGAAAAGGATTAAAAAAAATACATAAATAAATGACTTTAGAAGGCAAAGGGAGGTAAGGCATACAGCAGAAAGAACAACTGGATCTGCAAAATCAGGTTGCTGGCCTTGAGGCTTGGTATAAACCCTAACAAGCCCCATCTCCTCCCACATCCTAGATAGTAGTCTGTCTAAGTTCAACTGCCCAAATAACAGAAAAGAGAAACTCAAAAATCCATACAAACGGGTAACCCACAAATATACAATTGATTTACTGCTTAAAATACCCTCAGCTCACACCAGACGTGTGATGTGAATGTATCTTAACTACAGGTTTGGAACATTTGGTATTATTACATAAGCAAATAGGGGATTAGAGAGAACCAGAAAATATTGAATGTGACAATATGCTACAGTCAAAACTCAAAATTGTTGACGAAGTTTTTTCATTCTGAGAGCAAGATTGCAATATGTTAGCCCAATATGGGTGTCAAAAGAAGATAAGCATGAAACTTTCCACTCCAATCATACCTTGAGATTACAACTAATGACAACAGAATTTGGCTGACGGGCTAACTTGTCTACATCATCAATACCAATTACATCAATCTTGTTGTAGACGTACACACACTTCATATACTTACGATTCCCCTCAATTACATCAATAAGATCGTCAACCGTGGCATCCTCTCGAAAGAGTACCTGCAGAAAATAACATATTCAATTGAGAAAGTATTCAAAAAAATCAATATAGTGGGCGTATGGATATGTCAGATATAGAAAGAATGGTGTCAAACTAATCTAATACCCCCTATCTGTGAAAATGAACAAAAAATAAAATGATGAGAAAAATTCATGCAGAAGAAAGGGAAAAATAAATCCTTGCATATTGCTCCTTTAATTCTTTTGTGAACCAAAAGATCAACCTCCAAATACTTAGACCCGTCTGTTAGAGGTGATGCAACTGTTCAAGATTTTTGGGCCTAGTTGGAAATAAAGGGATAGTTTTGCGCCTGGGAAACATAGAGGGGAAAAACACCCTTTTTTGTTGGCTAAATGGCTGTGGCATAATGTGTTCTCTGGAAGTTCTGGTTGAGGTATGAGTAAATGTCTGTGGTTCCACATTGCAGGATGCAGGACTTTTGTGCTTGGTGCCTGATGATAATTCCTTTTAATACTGGATGAAGGGACAAGATTTCAGGCGCATTTGTCTTGAAAGGTAGGCATTTAGACCACAGTTCCTGCACCACCAGATGCCAAAAAGAAAAATGCTACAGCCTGGAGATGGGTAGTGCTTCTTAAAATTGAAATCATTTAAGTAGAATAGAATAGAGAAGTCAGAATTGGGGGGCTGAATAATGAAGTAGGTGCTTTGGTAGATATATGTTTGAACATCTTAATGACAGGGAGTACGCTGTTCCATGAAGGATAGTTGGAAGACCATGAAAGGCGAATTCTTTGTAAGAATGCTAAAATTTTCATACGGCGCTTCATAGTTAGCACTTCTCAGCATCAACTAATGCATGAAGTGCGAAAAGCTCATCCTAAGTTAGCCCTAACTCCTTGCTGTTGTGTCATATGTAAAAAGGACGAAGATCTAAATCATCCCTTTATCCACTGTCAAGATGTTGGTAGCAATTCTTATAAACTACTGATTTCATTGAATAAATAAGTTCATAAAAAGTGCTCGTGGGTCACAGGGCAAAATGAGGAGAAAGCCTTTTGACTGGTGGGTAAAGACTTTAGGGTTTTTGGATGTTCTTTCTTCTTCCTTTAGCTCAAAGGACAACGATGCTTCTCTGTAGCCATAGATTCTGGCCAACTTCCCTAAATGCAAATTTAAACTAAAAAGGGTCAATCAGCAATATGCTCGATGACGTAGAGAAGGCAAAGAAACCTTGACATGAATGAAACCAATAAAGCTATCTTTGGTTTTTCAAACTCACTTACAGTAAGCTTCCCAAGAACTTTTTGGCACTTTTAATAAAGCCACACAAGCACTACCATTCAACTCACAAAGTATATAAGTTCCATCCAACTAAAGGCAGGTTCCTAACTTGAATCCAACCACCGTATGAAGGTTCCACCCTCATTTCTTTGTTGAAAGAAAGTTTGGTGCTTGAAGTGGAGCTTTCAGAGGGGTATTTTTTTATCCAAGAAAGAAAAAAGGACCAACCTTCATTGTTTTATTTTGACGGAACTAGGATTTTGCCCTTCCTACCACTAGTCATTGGTGTCAGGATTTGCCATATCATTTCTTGTTTGAGGTTTTTATTACCGAGAGGAAATAATCAACAATCCTAATACCTGGAAGAATTTGTAGGTGAGGGAAGATTATGAGAGTATTGAAGCAGTGGACCAACTGGGAAAGAGAGCCCCATTGTTGAGAGAGAGATAGAAGGAATTGTCTTTCCCTTGTTCAAGGAGACCTGCCTGAATACCCCTGTATTTCCCATTAACTTCAATGGAGAAAGTTTACTTATCGGTTACCATCTACCATTGCTTGTAATTCCATACCACGGCTAACGACTGCTAGAGAGTACTCAGCAGAAGATAGAGAGAACGAAGAAGGAGGGTTTAGGCAAGGGAAGGGGAGTCATGGTTGGGGAGAAGATAGCGGAGGAAAAGGAGCAGAGAGGAAAGGAGAGGCTGAAGAGAGATCAAGGTGAAGAAAACTCTTGTTCGAATAGTGATTGATAATGTCACTCTCATTTTTTTTCTTTTTCTTTTTTGAACTAAATCATCTATAACGGTGTTTCAACCCCTTTCAAAGAATAGCAAAGAAAAACCATTTAGCCATGGTTGCTTGGTGCGTCACTACCTATGAGATTAAGGATTTTTCATATGAAGTTTTTTGTCATTCTCCATTGTCAGGAAAAGCTAGAACTCTTTTGTTCAAGGCATTAAGGGCTCTCTGCTGAAATTTATAATTGGAAAGTAATAGACACTTCTTTTAAGGGCTAGATAGAAATTTCAACGGTTTTTTAGAACTTGTTTTTCCACTATTCTCGCGCTGTTTTGTGACTTCCACTTTAGTAATATTGATTTTTCTCTTGATTCCCAATAAATAAGAAACTGGGAAAAAATAAATAAATAATGGTTCTTCAAAATTTCATTTAGATGAAAGAAAGTAACCACTGATGATTGTATCAGCAATGAAGGGCAGTTCCAACAAAAGGGACAATAAAGAAATTGTGTGGAAGCCAGTAATTTAAGTACAGTTGGAAGTAATACCTCTGCATTGTGAATTTTGTACTCGTGTAGAATTTGATAGCAGAGCTTCTCATCAACATGAGTTAAAGGAAGAGTACTATTGAATGAAATACCACCAGTTTTTTTCTTTTTGAAATATATCTGCAGATAAGAATGAAAGCAGAGCTAGTTGAAGTACTTACTGATGGTTAGTCAACAAGGATGAGTGAGAAACTTTTTCAGCCAATTGAATTAGAAAATGGGAACACCAACGATGAAACTTGAAAAGCCAAAACTTACTTGAGGTGGTCTCTTGTTCAAACGCAAACCCACTGCTTCCAACTCCCTTGTTAATATCTGACGATGGCCCTCACTCTAAAGATTACATAGAAATAATTTATCACGAGAATGTTGGTTTAAATTATACCCAGAGGAAAGGTAAGAACCAAACTAGAAAAAAGGAAATTGCTAAATTGATTGTGAACTGATAAGAAAATAGTAGAATTGAAATAAATATCACACAAACATTCAAGAAAGTATCATATATTGATTCATATATTCAAATAGTTAATAAAATAAAAGTATCTAATCACCATAGTATGAGTACGAAGTTTGAAAACAAAATATTGGTCATATAGATCTCACAAATCAGGAAAAAAATGCTAGTAACAGAGAGTCTACCCATGTGATTGTCATGCCATAGGGAAGGGGCTTTATTCTCTTTACAGAAACAACGCAAGAATATAAGACTAGAAAATATGAATTGATATTAGCTTATTTAAATTAGTATTGCAAATGAGCTACCGTGAATAGTGATCAGTATTATGCTGTCAAAGGAAATTACTGAGCCGCAAAAAACATCCAAGAACTTATAAGCACCATGCAATTGTGATAATTCAACAATTACACTGAATAATATTCTTATTTTTGGCCTCCGATTTCCCAGCAAATATTCAATCATAGTGATAATAATTCAACATGTACAAGAAAAATTGGCTAAACCCATAAGCATATTAAAAGAATATAGCCCTGCAAAACTTACCTTGGAGGCATCAAGGACCATCAAGACCAAGTCTGAAGACTTGGAAACTGCAATAACCTGTCAATAAAGTTCATGCAAATTTAACCCTCACGTTACCCATTACGTTGAATAGTTAAAGGAAAGTGGTATACGCAGCAAAAAAAAAAAGTTTAAGAGCAACCAATTACTCCACAAATAAAATAAATAAATTATGAGATTACATGACCTAAAAGATGATTAAACTTGTGCTTCAAGCCTAAACAGAAAAATGGGGAAAATAAAAAAAAAGTTTACCTGTCTACCACGCCCCTTTCCTTCAGATGCACCTTCAATAATTCCAGGAAGATCAAGCAGCTGAATTTTGGTATCATTGTAGTGAATGATCCCAGGAATGCAAGTAAGTGTTGTAAATTCATAGGAAGCAGCTTCTGATTGAGTGCCCGTCAACATTGTTAAAAGTGTGGATTTTCCCACACTGCAGAAAACGGAAAAAGAATTGTCAGGGTGATTCCTCTAATATAAGAACAGAGTTATTATATAGATGTACGACCAAGATTGCTTAATAAATAACAAATACTATAAAACATGACTGATTGCTTAATAAATAACAAATACTATAAAGCATGACTGATCCTGCAAGTCGCATCCAAAAGTTTTTTACAATCTACTAATTATTTTATTAGAAATAAATCTTGTTTCAGAGCAAAAGAAAAGAAAAGAAACACTAGGAAGCCTAACATGGTGTGGAGACAAAAGGCTGCCTAATCCAAATATGTGGGTTCAAAAGCTCGCATAGCCAAGTTTTTATTCAGAGCACCATTTTCCTTTTCTAAATTAAGAACAAGTAAATATCTCAAAGGTCACAACAGGATAAAACCTTGGAAACCCTATGAGTGCAACACGTCCATGGCCATATTTTGTAACTTCAAAGCCCTCACCACCACCACTTGAACCCTGAATGCGTCATGCTAAAAATAGTAAATATGAATGCCAAATCAACAAAAATTTAATAGATTCAATTCAATTGACAAAAAAAAAAAGTACAGAACAAGGGAATATATTGGTAATCGATCGAATAAAAGAATTTTTATTTTAGACAGAAACAATCTTCAAATATATTTTTTCACAAGTCCCAACTTACAAGAGAGCCAAGAAGAAATATCCAAGAGTAGGTCTTGGCAAAGTCGGCACCGAAAAGAATCAGTACTCATTTTCCAAAGCCAAAGATTTAATGACAACCATCATATGAAAATACATCAAATAGTCAGTTTTTTATGAATTCTTTTATTAGGATGCAGAAAAACAGCATACATCTAGAGCACAGAATATATGAATGGTTTTATATAATTGGGTTACAGCACGAACTAGTTATATGTTTGAAAACATTGTTGTGGATTGGATTTAAATAAATAAATAATAAAAAATTTGAAAAAAGGTGATTCATATTTTCTTTGCTCAAACTAATTACTCGAGTAGTTCTAAAAGAATCGATATTAAATTAACTTCTAAAAAAATTGAGACAACTTCTCAGAGCCAATAATGTGTGAATTGTTCGTAGTTTCATGAACTTATTTCTGTGAGCTCCGAAAGCAATACAATACCAAATGCCTAAGCACGTGAATGAACAGGAACAGTATCATTTTCAAATCAGAAAAGGAAGTATCCACGAGCAAGAAACAGATGCACTCTACCGGTGTCACACTTGAACAAAGCTTACAAAACTAAATGAAAGGAGCTGCAGATTTTGCAGGAAACATACTTTTGGAGGTTCTAGCAGCTGCGTCCTCAACTTTGCTATCTTTGCCTTGAGCTGACCAAGATGATATTCTGCGTTTTCAGAAATACAAAAACCGTTTAAACACTTGGACCAAAAAAAGTACATATAAGTTGTGGTAAATACACAGCTCACGTAGATGGAAGAAACTGATGATAATAGATTAATGGATGAAGCCAAGTACCCGTGGCCTTATTTTTCTGAGTCCGAGCCATCTCGGCCTCGATCTCCTTAATTCTTTCAATTATTCCCATCTTGCCGCGTCTTCAACTGCAAAACCACAATCAAAGCACCAACGCAGAAGAAATATCGCTTTATTAAAGATGTATGTTCAACCTAGTTTACGAATAACCATAGTGCATGAGGAAAACAATACAAAACAATATAAATTGATCGATACCAATCAATGCCTCAATGGAGTGTTAACTTCCGACCAATCTCTGTTTGCGCATTGATAAATTGGCGAAAAAAAAAAGGACACAATTACGGAATCAAGTTTAAGTTGAATTACATGCTCTTATTCAGCTCCAAGGAGCAGCCAGCTACAGTTATTACCGGATAATTCAGGAAGCTAAGAATCAACTGGGAGAAGAAAAAGTGATGAAGCAAATTTTGTTGAATAAGACTCACTCTGAACGACTGGCCGACGATCTGTGGAAGCTTGAAGAACGGAGAAGGGGAGAAGGAAGAAGAAGAGTGCCGGGCCAGACAGAGTAGGTCTTAGATAATTAGATGGAAAAGCACTGGGCTTTACAGGCGCCAACGGGCCCAGTTCATCCAAAAGATCCACTTGCTATGTTTAAATGTGAAAAGAAAAAAAAAATCTTTTTCGAAGTGTAAAATTTTTTTTACCCTTTTTGAGAGCAATAGATGGTATCATTTTAAGAATTTTTTAAGAATTTTTTAAGAATTTTTTTAATACAATGTGTCAAACGTTAAACTCACCATCTCTTAATTTGAGATATATGTTTGAGTTCTATTGATATTTTATTTTAAGATTAAAAGATTGATATGCCCATAATTTTAAAAGAAAAGTTACTTTTTTTTGGACAATTTGAACTTCAGTTATTCATTGAGATAAACTTTTTGATAAAATTATACTTTAAAGCATTTGATACAGGTATAATTTCATTTTAATTTATGAATGGTCAGTGATGTAAAAAAAAAAAGATAATGAATGCTCCTACCTATTTGATCTTTATTTCCAAGGGCTCAATTCCTTTCCTAAAAAAGTGTTCAATTATTATTTTGAATTCACTCAACAAAAGAGTTATGGGGTTTATCAACAAATTATAAATTAGTTATAAAATAAAATAAAACCAATAAATTAAATCAAGGAAAGAAAAGATGAAATAATAGATCTATTTATTATCATAGTAAAAGTTCGTTCCTTGATTTAGTTACAAAATGTTGCAAATGTGTTTCTAAGCAGACTTAGGAGGGCCCTTTTTTTGGTAGGTTTCACCATCATGATATATTAAATTGGTTGATAGTTAATTTAATGCTTGAAATAAGGTGATTAATGATGAATAATTAGTTAGGGTATGTTAGAAATAAGACATAACGTTGCCATGTATTGACAGCTTAATGATTGAAAAAAAATAAACTTGGTCGTCCCATATTATGCAACAATATTTAAGGCTCTACTATAGCTAAATTGTGACGAAAAGCTATAACCATAATTGAACAATGCAAAATATGTATTTTGCATTATACTTTATAGTTGCATAATTTGCAAGATGTGGCAAATCTATTGATCAGACAGAAAGATCTACAAATGTTCCAATTATCAAACATTAATTGGCTAGAAATAGATCACTAAAGACACTAACACCACACTAGTACACCTCGACTAATCACGAGCCAACTGCCTAATCCTACTACACTTGGTTGACAAGGAAAATCGTATCCAAGATAGATGGCCACCATAGTTTGTACCCATTCACTCTAAGCTCTTTACTACCCTTGTTGACCTACCACTAGGTCATTCTATGATGGTTCACAAAACCAAAAAGTGTCCCAAAAAACATCTTCACTCCTGATTTAAACCAGGCCAAACCGTGAGTAATAAAACAAATAATTATAGCAAGAATTAAACTCGAATACCATAAATTTAACTAAGGATTCAATATCTGATTAATCTCTATTTCCCTCCTACACTGCAAAGTGAAAGACCAGCAAGTGAGAATGGAAAAACAAATAAATAAATAAATACAGAAACACCATTACTCGGCTGTAATATCTATCTCAGTGGCTGGTGGTAGAGGTGCATCTGATGGCTTGATATATTCTTCCTCCTCCTTAGGTGTGTGGATGGTAACCAAATCAGGCAAAGGAGTGGTCGGTCCTTGCTTACCCTTAGGATCCCAGTCAAGCATGATCTTGACCTTGATCCCAAGAACACCCTAGAAGATGAAGAACAATCACAATTAATTGATATTCAAGAAGATGGCGAAGACATTACTTTATTCAAGGGTGAAAAGCTAACCTGTCTCAAGAGGACATGCCTCACGGCAGAGTCAATATAATCTTTGCAAGGCTGACCGGAGGATATCATATATCCATCCTTGAACTTCATAGACTTTGCACGCTGTGCCCTGAGCTTACCACTAACAACGACCTGCATGCAGTAATGGAAACTCTAAGCGACATGAAAGAGAGATGTGCCTGTCTTGTAGTTTACCATAAAAGTTGGAGAAGAAAATAACAATCTGACTAACACAAACCTCACATCCCTTCGCCCCGCTCTCCATGACAAATCTAAGAACACCATAGCAAGCTCTGTAAAAATGAAGATGAAAGATGAGCCAACCAAAAAAAAAGAAAAAAGAAAAAACAGATGTTAGAATAGGAGTATTCCAGAAATTGAAGAATACAGGATCATCATAAACTCATATGAATCTAATATATATTTTCTAGTAAAAATATTGAGCACAATATGTACAAATTCACTTGCACAATTTCTTAAAACAAATAAAGACAACACCAAAGCAAAACCATTTATCGAAATATGAAGAAAAATCATGTGACCAACAACATTTATCCCGGAAAACTGTTCATGGTTACTAATTTAAGGAGACAGCTATTGACCTACAACGTTTGAAATCAAGAAATTCTTAGAAACCATGACCTCAAAAGCATTTAGGTTTACAGCTTATAGACCTAAAAAGCTTTAAAAGTTAACCAACAACCAAGGATGATAACACCTTATAACAACACCAAATGGACCACTTTATAACAACACCTTGACAACTTCATAGAGCATATGACAGTACCATTTGCAAAACTTCAAGAAATTACCAAAAAAAAAAAATTTGTGGAGTTCCCGAACCCCAAGAACTGAGCAAGAGCAACAGTTCAAGGAAACTAAAAACTCCATCACTACATATAAGCATTTCGAATAGATCCTCTAAACCCATAAATATTGGGAAAGGGACGTGTGTAATGCTCAAAACATAAGAAATCACACAGACCATTAGACGTGTCAGAACTTCAATGTCTAGACCCTTTCTACGGAACTCCTTGACCATACCAGCCAAAGATTAGTACACATGGAGATCATATAAAAAGTTCATTTCATAATATGGATTATCGATGACAATTGGAGAATCTTCTTCCCATATATAGAATCCAAAGAAATTTTCTACTCCTCTCCATAAATTATAGCTTCATATAGGAATTAATATTCTAGGGAAACATGGAAAAATATAACTATAACCAAAAAACTTCAAAGATTAGTCTATCTTTCAAATGAATTAAACCATTGAGAAAATAAGACAGACCTCCTGACAGCAAGCCCTCCAAGAAGCTTGTAACGCAGGGACTCAGCCTGAGCAATAGCACATAGACCTCTGTTGTTGACCTTTTCAGCATAGAGTTCGACACTATTCTCAGGGAATTTAAATCGCTTTTGAACAACAGATGTCAATTCTCTGATTCTTCTTCCCTTCTCACCTAAGCACATCATTTTTAGCAACAAAATACCGTAAATTCCAAAATTAACTAATCTACGGCCATCGTTGTTTGCATATAATACGAAAACTTTCCTATATAGTAAATTATTCATGTAGATGTTGTTATAATTTGTTATCATCCAAATTATTGCACAAAAGCACTACTTCCTAGTGAAACAAACAATTTATAGAGACAAAATATTTAAATAATTGCAGATCATGTAAAGAAGCAAACGAAGTAACTGAAAAGTTAATTTCCCGCCAAAAGCATTGGAATAAACAAAAATCAGAAACAAAATTCTTACCTAGAACATTTTGTGTCCTAGTTGCCCTGATTATAATCTCAGTACGCATCGGCGTAACCCTAACCTCGACACCGGAGTAGCCGTCCTCGGCTAGCTCTCTGGTCAGCACCTCGTTGAGCTCAGCGAAAAAAACTCCATCGGCGACAAACTGTAACAAATTAAGAACCAAAATACATATTAGATCGACCAAAAAGGAACATCCGTCTCTTAATTGCTTATGAATCAAAGGATGTAACCTTTCGTTTCTTGCTCATTTGGGTAACCATTATTGACGGCCGTCGTACACTAGAGCTGCTCTCTTTGATTTGGTTCCAAGTTTCACAGAAACCCTAAAAAATTGATGTGAAGAAAAGTGGAAGCGGTCGAAAGCTTATCACTCCCATCACACTGTACCAGATCTCTTGAACGGTTGTGATCAAAGCTACCACGCGGGCAGAAATGGAATGTTAAGAGACAAAATGAGGTTTTTTTTTTCTTTTTCCCTCCTTGAATACGAAAATAGTTCTAAGAAAACTATTTATTTATTTTTGTATTTATTTATTTTAATTTTTGTTATTTGAGAGTTTTTTTGAGTGCAACATCTCGAACTCCTTAGTTGATTTGTTTTGGCTCTTAATTTGAGTGTCTATCAATTCTCACTTTTAGTTCTTTTAATAAAGATATATGTCAAGTATTTAATAAATATTACATATATGTTTTTTAGTATAATATGTAGGGGTCGAAAAATACACATTTACAACCTTCTAAACGAACATAAATATTTTAATTTGTTAAAATATTGTTCAAGATTATGAAATATTATATATATTAATTATCGGTTCTAAAATTAAATGTCAAAACAAACATAACTCAGCAGTAATTGATATATTATCTTCAATCAAGAGGTTGTGAATTCGATGTTGTACTAAAAAGACATATATATATTAAGAGGCAACACGAGCTTGGCTCAATGGTATTGGCATGTCCGAGGTTATATATATATATATATATATATATATATATATATTAAGATAAAATAAATATAAAGTCTTAGAAATCACCATTCAATAAGTTATAAAAAAAAAAAAAGGAATATCACAATTGAAGCCCAATGGGCTGTTGCCTTGCAAAGCCCAAACTTACCAAGCATGAAATGTACAAAACTGCCCAAAAAGATATTTGGAAGAAGCCGGAGACCGTGCCCCACAAACAGGGGTGGTGACCGCAATTCCTGCAGCCCACGGCGGAGTGCGACGATGGCTTCTAAGGAGTCGTCTAGTTCTGATCGAAAAGGTGAGTTTTTGAGGATGTATGAACAGACCCATTTTCAATTAGTTATTATTTAGCTATATTTGATGAATCGAACTTTTAGACTCTATTCTATCACCAGGCTTAGTTGATCTGATGCAGAAGGGGAACAGTTTTACAATTGTTATATGATTAGGATGTTTTCCCAATGAAGTGTTTGATCAAGATTTATGGTGATTTATTTGGTTTCGTTTTTTGTAGTGGTTGTTCTGCTGAGAGCTACTGGGGATGCTCCCATTCTCAAACAAACCAAGTTTAAGGTTTGTATTGCGTTAATTTTTGTCAGCTGACGAATTTAAAATTTGAATTTTATGTGTTATATTGTTTAAAATGTAAAAAAGAAATGAAATCTTGATGCCCGTGAAAATTTTTAATCATTTGATCAAGAGCCAAAAGGAATGAAGCTTAGTCTTTATTGTTATATATGTATCAGATATCTGTCTTGGATGCAATGTCACATCCTTTTACTATACAAATTCACATGGCCATCACCATCACCAGCACCATCACCATATGATTTTTCTGTGGATAGTAGCACAAAACTTTATTGATTACGACAACTTGAGGAAATTTTCATAGGATGTCTAATGAATTGAATGATATGATTAATGAAAGGGGGAGGATACCCCTGATATGTGGCGAGTGTTTCTCTACAAAAGACTTGTGCTCTGATATGTAATCTGGAATGAACTTTTGATGTGACCGACCTTAGAATGTGTTGTTTGTGTAAAATTTTATGCAGCAGTTTCTCCTCTTAAGTTTCTCCTTTTGGAATTCAGTTTCTATATTTGTAAATTTATGGTAAATGTTCGTTCACATATTGGATACATTTGGCAGATGCCTGGAACAGACAAATTTATTAAAGTTATTGATTACATACGCCGGTCAATTCAACGAGACACCTTGGTATTCATCTGAGTTTTGAAATAGTCTCTCATCTATCTGCCAAATTTATTTGAAATTTACGACACTTCACCGTGCTAATTTGTTCTATTCTTTGAAGTTTGTGTTTGTCAATAGTGCATTCTCACCAGGTCCAGATGAGACAGTTAATGATCTTTACGACGTGAGTTGTTATAGACACACTTTTTCTATTTATGTTCAAGTAGCGTATGTATACTTTTTATCATTAATTATTAGACGAAGAAAATGAGGTGGGGGTGAATTGATCTTCAATGAATTGGCTGAGAAATATCTTTAAAAGACTAATGACTCGTTAAAAACTGCCATCTTTAAGCGAGGGTGTGTCTTTATTGAAGGTGTAGACTTCTAATGTAGATGTTGGTCATGAATCATTGTGGAAAACACCAATCATTGTATATTCTTAGAAGGTGAAATAATGTGGCACGTGCCAGTACGCATTGCTTATTTTTAGTAGTAGAACAGTTCTGAGAAAAATATAGATCTATATTCAAATCGGATAATTAATTTTAAAACTTTCTGAAGTATGATATCCACAACATCTGCTAGATTATCTGAAAGTATAGCATCAAATCAATGAGTGCCCTTCAAAATATTTTATACATCAGTTTCTTATCACCTCTCTGTGGGCTGTGTATGGATTAAATCATTTGAACTTCATGGCAGTTTATCAATCTGTTTCTTTACCTTGGAATAGATATATGATTTTTCATATCCACATGAGTTCGAAGATTTCTGAAGCCCTGGTGGCTAGGTATCTTATTGATTATCTTTTTCGTATGCCTATTTGCAGAACTTTGGAATTGATGGGAAGTTGGTGGTAAATTATGCCTGCTCAATGGCTTGGGGCTAATATGCAGTGGGTAAAGTTTAGTGCTGATGCTGTAAATAGTATATTGAACAGTTCATTTTATACAGCTATGACTTTAGTTTAAACTCATCTATTTATTTTTTTACAAATTTTCTTCCACATTTTAGGCTGCTTTACCAGATGGAAAAGATATCTAGTCTAGTTCCAGAGTCTCATACTTATCAAGGTCCAGAGTCTGTAAATTTTTATTTCTTTGATAGATCTCTTTAATTAATTGTTTGAACATAGAATACCAGACTATGAAAGCCAAAAGATACTTGTTCCAAATTATGATATGGAAGCTCAAATTCTTGATTAGCACACTCTTTGTTCCACCCTTTTCTTTTACTGTTTTACATAGTAACAGCTATTGCCTTATCAAAGTGCTCATTTATATCTTAGTGCCATATTTTGTCTGATGATAGATATCACATATCAGTTCTTCTGGGTCTGTTTGAGATGATACTATTTCGTGTTTAGCTTTCATAACTAGTCTAGTATTGGCGTTTAACATGTTGGGGATATACAAATTCTCTTTTCTTTGCTTTTTTTCTCCATGATTGGAACTAGCGGGGAACATATAATTCCAATAGTAAGCTCCAAAGGCCAATATGATGGTACAGGTAGGAGGAAAAACAAATAATGAGTTGAACGACTATCTGGGTCTTAAGTTTAGAATAGTACTGAATCTTTTTTGTGTATTTGTACACATCTGTTTTGTTTGGGTAAAATCCAAGAATGACAAGATACACACGCTGACCATATCAGGCTGAGTGTTATGTGGTGGTGAAATGCTGGTCTGCACCATTTGTCCGACTCTGACCATCTGAAAATTTGGACTAAGCTTGTGAAAGAAAGTGACTTTTTTTTTTTTTTGTCTATCAGCATGATTCTCTTCATATTCCCACCACAGCTTCGGATCATGAGGCAAAATCTAGAAACTTAAACCCTTCTATCTTAATGAGTGCAGTGCACTACCGATCTCTCTCTCTCTCTCTCTCTCTCTCTCTCTCTCTCTAAACTTGGGGATTACCATATGTAGCACAATATCTCTTCCTCTAAACTTAGGAGATTGCCATATTAACACTAGATTTGCTGATTCCCTATAGTCAAACTTTGTTGTCTTTCATTATCTTGAGAGAAGCAGAAAGAATTACAAACTTCTTTCGAATATGATGTTGATAGCAGGTAGAGTGGATAATTCAAGATCAAGTTAGTAGGAATCTGTTCATTAGCCATCAAATATTTGACTAATGCCAAGAATGAAACAATAAAATTTTAGATAAATTACTGATGATTCGCATGAGAGTGCACCAACAACCTAAGCTCATAGTTACGGCTTATGATACCCAATTAAAGGAATTTACTCATCCACTCCAAATCAGGGCCCTCATTGGAAAAATCAAACAAGTTATCGACATCAAACTCCAAGTTTGAGCCATCTCCACATTCTTGAGACGTTTCCTCTTCTCTCGACTCTGTGTCCACTTTTCTTTTACATCCTTTTCTTTTGAGAACTTCGCTTTCTTTTTCACTCTGTTGGTTTATTTTCTTGCTCAAATGAGAATTCCAATAGTTCTTTATCTCGTTATCTGTTCGGCCGGGCAATCTCCCAGCAATCAAGGACCACCTGAAAAGATCAATGCACCACCCCAACTCAAAAAACCAAACCAAAACTCCTGTTCAGATTATGAAGCAGAAGGCAAACAATCGAGAAAGCTGCAGACCAAAATGGGTAAAAATGTGACCTGTTCCCAAGAAGTTTGTGGAGCCTGAGGATCAAATCTTCTTCTTGATCTGATATATTGCCTCTCTTTATGTTAGGTCTCAGATAATTCAGCCATCTTAGTCTGCAACTCTTCCCACAGCGATTGAGACCTGCAAAATTTATAAACCATTCAGCTAAATAATGGCTCTGCATCTTCTTCATTTGGATTTTAGAAATGGTAAAAGGGTGTGAAAGCACCTGCTTTGGCTGCAATCGTTTTCCACCTTTTTGCACCATGAATGGCAATAACCTCGGCCAGTTTTTGGTCTTCTTCTGCGGTCCAAGCACCTTTATTGACTCCATTTCTCATATTTTCAGCTTCATTTATGTCTCCTTCAACTTGCTTCACTTTTCTTTTCACAGACTCTTCTTCAGTCATTGGAACTTTAAGAGATAGATAGAGAGAGATTATGGTTTGGAAGAGAGCTTTATTTTTCTCTAAGAGGTGAAAATGTAACAGAGATCTCAGCTAGAAACTAGAGATATATATGATGAAGTTGGAATAATTCTGGGGTTGGCAGTCTTTCAGCAAAAGGACGCTCTGATCATGAGGTTGATGATTGAGTGAGATATAAAGTCTGCTTCTAAATAGTTGCACACTGTTGTACAACTCAACAAAGAACAGCTAGCAAAAGATCCTGTTTAAGAAAAAGAGCTACTATTATTTATTATTATTGTTTTCTATAAAGAAAAATTTCGAAGTCCATGATGTCGTAGATTCAAATAACATGAGAATATCTCTCAGCACGAGACATCTTTACTTTTTTTAAAATGTCGTAGATTCGAATCTGATATTCCATAACATAATTTACCTCATGATAACTTCTTTTGAAGTTATAAATTTCAAAAATCATGCCTAGTTCGTAATGATGATCTTTTTGACCACTAGGTGGTCATTTGAAACATTTATCTAATGATTCGAGTAGTTTTCTTCTGGACATTGAAGCTCATCCTTAATTGTCTTGATAGTCGACCTCGACTCGTGTTATTTCAGGATGATATATAGCATTTAGAATATGTCTCGATTTAGTACCGCTCTCACAGCCCACAATGAAATAGTACTGCTTTTACTCTTGTCAATATAATGTTAGTGTATTATTTTGTGGCTAAATGAGAGTGTAGAGGAATTGTCATCAAAGTCAGGAAGGAAAAAAAGGGAAAGGCTTTTTAGAGAGAGAAAGCCTCGAATTTAGTGAAGAATCTACAATAATAGAAACGAGAAGAGAAGGGAAGGGAAGCGCAGCACATGATTTAGAGAGAGATAGAGAGTGGCTACAAGGAGGACAAAGTGAAAAATAAGCACAGAACAGAAAAGTATTTTGTCTCGAAAGAATAGAACCTTTTCAGAGCCATGGAAAGGAGAGAAGATCAAAACTCTTTTTATTTTAATGATACCAGTAATTCAGTATATGCATGAATATGCAATTTCATTGGTTTCATATTCCCATTTTCTCTGTCCAAAGCTGAGCTAACTGCTACTGTGCATCATCTTTTTAATTACATATATATATATATTTTATCGTACAGGAAGTATCATAAAATCCAACAAAAGGAAACTGTTAAACAAAAGGCAAAATTAGGTTCACTTTAAGTTGGGATTAGGTGAAAGATTATACCATATCCATTTCCCATGCATAACTTTTAGTCTCACGTACGTTTAATTTATAATTTCTTTTTAGTTTAACGACATGGAACCGTGGGTCCAGTATAAAGTTTGAATTTTTTTAGTACAACAAATTGAGTGTATGAGAGTTTAAACCTCCGACTTCATTAAAAGGAGTAGATGTTAGTTACTGTTTTTAAATATAGCATTATAATTGTGAGGTGTGAGATTGGTCTAAGTTTCGATGCGGAGAAAAAGTTACTTAATCTTAGCTGTTGAATAATACTTAGGTTGCTAATAAAAGATATTGTTAATTAGCACTGCATGGTTGGTTGAATTGGTAACACGTGACACCTAGATTTGAATTTGTAAATTAATGTGAGACAAAAGAGAAAAAGATGAGGGGGCACTGATTATGTTAACATAAAACCCTAAAATATGGTTTAAGATTAAAATAAGAAACCAAATCCAGAGTCAGTTGGCTTTCACTGTCTTAAATCCTTCCAGCTTTTGGTTAATGTGATATTCCTTTAAAGCTGAAACATTTAATTTGAATCTCAAACCTTACATTTCATCTGTTTGTCTTTTTACATAAATGCACACCACAGCTACATGCATCCAGCTCAATCTATATTATTATTCTTTTTTAATCATATGATATATATATATATATATAGGAATCGAGAATTCTAACTTATTACCTCTTGATTATAAACATGTTTCAATTACCGCTGAGCTATTCTCGTGTTGACTTTTGGAGATATATTAAGGATAGTTTAGTTGGTGTTCTGAAGATATGAAAATTATGGTGGGTTTGGTGGGGTAGCAAATTTATAAATTGAATCTTAATTTAAAAAGAAAAAAATTTCAAGATTCAAGTAGTTTATTTATCAACTACAGTTGAATCTAAAATATTATAATAATTTATAATATATTATATTGTAGTTTTCATTTTCAAAATGAAATCAGATTACAATATTAAATATTATACTTATCAAGATGTTTACCTTTTTCTATATAGTTTGTTATTTCAAAAACTTTAAATTTAAAATTATTTTCAAAAACAAATATTGCATGTTCAATCTAACAACAATAAAACAGAATCTAGATATACTACCCATAAAAAGTTACAAATTTTAGATATTATTTAAGTGACATATACAAATCACAATATTTACTTGTTATTTTTTGCAAGAGAGAGAGAGAACGTGAAGATGGGTGAGAGAGGCAGAAAGAAGAAAAAGAAGATCAATGTCTTCCTTCCATCATAAATGTGAGCTGAGGTGACAGCTAATTTAATGGAAGCATGAGGGTAATGGTTAAGTGAAGTGTCAATTATTTTTCCCATTCCAACAAAATCTCAATCGACTAATTAAGGAAGAATTTTCTTTTTACTTTATTTGTTTGAAATAACTGACCCACAATAATTAAATTTAAAAAAATACATCCTTTTTTTAGCTTTGGGTAGTTTGGTAAATGACTAGCCATATTTGGTGTGATTAAATTTGTAAAACTTGGAATTTGGTGACTCTGATTCATACTCTATGATTTGCTTTCCCATTCCCATCACACTAATAAATGAATTCCAAAAATACAACTTAGACTTATATACTCCATAATTCATATAAACAAAACATTTCTACTAAATATAGACTTACACCCATTTATATAAATCTAGCAACCGGTCTAGTTCATAAAATGGACTTTGAAGTTATTCTAAAATGATGGCTTTGCCTGGTAGTTTTTAATATGTTTAGATTGATGGGGACAACAGTAGCCAACAAGAAAAGATTAAGAAATCAAGAGAAAATACAAAAATTTGCATGAAAAACTAATCCTGACCCGTCTGCAAGTAAAAAAGTATATCAATCACACAAAATTTTCTCACCGACCTCAATTACAAAAATACTCTCTCAAAACTTTATACCGCTAACACGTAACGTAACTAGAGTTAATATATCAACCTTAAAGTAATTTCTAATTGGGATGAATAAAACTTAATGAGTTCATTTGATAGCATCTGAAGCATGTCCTTACCTCTTAAACGTGGGATTTCTGCTCTTATAATAATTTTTCAAAAACATGTAAGATGAGTCTAAGAAGTTTGAATTTATCTAGCTCATAACGTTGGTAATCTCATAATAAACCCACATATAAACCCAGTTTCACGAGCATATCAGTAACTTTTTTCATAAGATGAATGTTCAAATTTTCACGCCAATAGGAGCATAGCTCCACGGTTATGGTATCTTACTCGTGGGGAGGTCACAACAGACAAATTGGGTAGGTTCCACAGGCGTGGGCCCGCCTGGTTGAAGCATGAGGAGTTGGTCCGTTTCCGTAGGTGTAGGCCCATCACAGAAACCTACCTGTTTAAAAGCCCAGTGGGCTTTCTTTGTTCCGACCTGGGCCCTTTTGCCAGCTGCTTGGCTATCTTACCGCACCTTCCACGAAGCTTGGTTTTCACAATATCCATGTAATTAACTTTTTACTCTGTGAAAAATAAAATTAAAAATTAAAAATCACTTTTTACTTTTTAAAATCATATTTGAAATCCTGGCATCGTGGGGACGTAAAATTATTTTTGAAAAATTTACTTTATAAGACGGATGTATTAAAAAGTGATAGGGAACGAAATGGAAAACAAAACTTTAGGTTGGAAAAAAAGAAGACGAATTCAGTCAAACAAATTAAGTTGCAAAATTGAAGTGTTTTATCTAGACTATTTCCGTGTCAATTGTAATTTATAATTAAGGCGTTAAACAACACTGCCACGTGGAGGGCAGAGAGTCATCGGACTACCAAGTTTGTCTTGGATGCTAGTTTCCCCACACAAACGACGTGCAACATTTAGTCAAATTCTAGATGGGAAGATACTAAAAATCTACCTACTCAAATCGTGCGCGCTCGACAAGCCAACCTTCGGTCCGACACACTGACCGTCGATCAAATTCTCTGTCGGATACCCAAGCCTATAAATAGGGAGTCTCAGTTAGGTATGACATTCCAGCTCGGTCTCAATACTAAGGTCGAACTCAAAATTGACTTGAGCGTTGTAGGGTTTATGTTTCCTTATGCAGATCCTTCATTACCAATAGATTTTTCAACTCATTTCAGATGTTCGAGCTCGTCCAATCAGCCTACCTTAATTAGGTCGACCCTGATTGACATTTGTTACACAAATAGCTAAGGTACTTTTTTGGTCCTTATGAATGCTTTAAAAAAACAAACTTCTTATGTGATTTTTTGTAGACAAATTTATATCAATGTGATTGATTGAATTTATTAACTACATCAATAGTTTGAGTTTTAAATTTGCAAAATTTGCAACGACTCAGGTGGAGAGATGAGTAGTATTCACTTTTAACACATTTTCGAGTAAAGAATGTATGATTCAAATCTAGAAATTGGTAAAACAAAACAGTGGGTGATTACTTAGTCCATAGTGTATTTGACATTATTTTAAGAAAATATAAACTTTATAAACAAATCTAAAGGATGATATTAGTTATATATCTTTAGAACAAAATAGCCGTCGAACATTTGACGATATTGATTTCATCAGCGACAATAATAGTTGTGGCTTGTACTCGAAAGTAAAATCCTACATGCAATACATGTGCATTAAATGTGAACTTAATTTAAGTTTTATCCTCTCTATTTTTTCAACTATTTTCAAGTTAAATATGTTTTGGTAACTACAAACCATCCAAATTTCAAAACAGCTACTAATAATAATAATTATTATAATAATTATTATTTATTATTGTTTTTTTGGTTGAAAATAAGCTACTAATTATTTGTAGCTTATATGATGGAACACTTTACATCTCACCTACTTAAAAACTAAAAGGAAAGGGAAAATCGGTATTTTACAATATTATCAGGTTACTATTTTCTATTCAATTTTAATTATCAAGAAATATTCGACGGAACTTTTTTTGGAGAGGGAGAAAAAAATAGTTAAGGCTGTAGGAATGAAATGATAAATTATATAATCAAATGACTAAAGCAATAAGCCAATAATAGCAATTTTGATCCTAACTATATTTCATATCATTTTGTGGTAAAATTGAGAGTGGCACGTTGACCGTTCCCTATAGAACATGTGTGCATGACTTGAGGAGCTCAACCTATTGAGGTGGGGTGGAAAGACCAGTGTCAAACCAATAAGTGTTTAGTTCAGTGTCGACCTAGACTCTTCACTGACATTTCGACAGAAGAGGGCGATTCTACTGTCAGGATATCTTATTATCCACATAATATACTCTAGCTGACACTCTGACCGTCAAGTCTCACTTCCCTAAGTCTTCCTCTTGTCAAAGTGGCATAGTCAAATCCTTCTTAATGATAGACAGATTATTCTTGCAATCAAGTCAGACTTGACATATTCATTACTTTCTCCTAAGTTTTAACTTAGGCATCAGAGTGTTGGGAAAAAAATATAGATCAATCGATTATTCTATAAGTTTTGCAAACAAGACCTATTTGATTACAGTGACTATCTTGCTTCTAAGTATCATAAATTTAAAAATACTGTAACAAAAGAGCTATACAGTAGTGTGTTGAAATTCATTTTCCTCGTAGAACATGGGTTTCCTGTTTTGGCTCAACTATTCAAACTTTTATCAATATTCATGAGGTTTCATCTCAAAACCAATTGACAATGAGAAGAGTAGCCCATCTTTAACAACATTGTAGAACATTTGGATGAACTCAACACCGATGCGAACTTCTCTTGCAAGTACACGGGAGACAAATAGCTGATGCGACACCGTCCAGATCAACACATGTTATAGTTATGATATAGGAAAATTTTATTCGATCTTCAACCATTAGCTGTAACATGTAAGGTTAACCAGTAAACAAACTTAATCATAAATCAACTGATTAAGATATATATCATCTACCAATTAAAAGTCGAAAGTTAGAATGGTGTATATAAACTAAAAAAACATGTAAGACTCATTCCATAAAAAGTAAATATATTTAGTTCTACCTTAGGAAAATAAAGTGTATCTAATTTATTTGTTTTATTAATATACTTTCGGAGAGTTGAATGAACCCTTTATTAATATACTTTCACTAATATCCTCATAGACCATACATATATACATATACACACAAAAGATATATATATCTTCGAATTAATGTCTTAATTTTAAAATGCGTACAAGTTATCAATTTGTAAACAGTAATGTTAATTTAAAGTTGAATACATGCTAATAAGTTGTTATATTTTCTGAAAATCTTTTACCAGCCATGGGCATCTTTTCTAAGGTTGGTCAGACCAAATTCACTTGTTGTGTTGGTCAGACCAAATTAACTTTTAAATTCTAGTGTTAACCAAAGTAATTGCACTGCAACAGTTATTAAGTTGAATGAAAAGTTT